CTATGTCTCGTAGCTATGGGCGGAGGGATGCGGCGAGATACGATTCGCGAGTGTCACGGTCGCACGTCGGCCGAAGGCATCTTTCTTTCCGCTGCCGCTTTCTGTACGCTGATTTGTTGAGACAAAATAATTAATTTCTCAAAAACTATTGCGAATATCGCAAAACGGTACAGGACTTTCTTGCTCACCTCAATCCGTTCTACGTTCTCACCAAGGGTCATCATGGGACTTCGGGACACCCTGTATACTAACTCGCAATACTTAATTATATCAATATTTAAGTATTAACTAATACTATTTAAGTATTAACTCTCAATACTCAGTATTCACAAATACTTAACTCACTCAATACTTAAGTATTAACCAATACTAACTCTCAATACTCAGTATTACAACTTGAATACTAAGTATTACAACTTCAATATTTAGTATTGAGTCTCAATAGTTTTTTTCCGTAAGAGCTATTTACTGCGATTGTAGAATGGGCTTAATAAGTAATCATAAAATTAACACCATAAAACCACATATTATCAATACAAAATCGATGAAAGAAAAGTTTTGCTTAGTCATTCAATTCTTTGTACTATGCAGAGATAAAATAAAATGTTTTCATATATTGTAACAAACAGGCAGATACGATAAAACTTTTCTCTTTAACACTTTAACTCTTTAGCTCTTCAATCTTAAAAATGTAAATAAAAAACTTAAGAAACAAAAGCTTAAACTTAAAAATGTCATACAATTATATACACTTACCCAGTAAACATTAAATATCTCTGGAATATTCCGTTTGTATTCCAGAAGTTCCGGAATATTAAAGAAATGTTCATAGAATGTTCAAATAATTGTGGAATATTCAGAATATTCTATGAATACTATTTGTATATATATACAATAAAGAATATTTAACCTAAATAGCACAGAGATGAATAGGAGTTCATAGAGAATTTTAAAGAACATCTAAAGAATTAAAAAAATGAATATCCAAAGAATTACCCGAGTTTAATTTATTCTAAAGTATTCCTCAAAAATTTATTATAATGAATATTTTGCAAATCATTACTTGAGATATTCTGAGAATTCGTGAGAAATTACTATTATTAGCTAATTTCATTTATTATATGGTATGGTTACATTAAACAGAGATCGCTCATTATGTCTGGCATGCAAAAAGCATTAGGTATGAAAGTGTCAAAAGTACAACCAACGCGAACAAACGTAATGATACATAGAAGTTGAAGTATAAAAATTATTTATTTAATTAATAAAAGAAAGGATATAATTACATATACATGTTTTATATGATCTATTCTCTGTAGCTGAATTGGTTGCACTAACTTGCGTTAGTTCTCTTACTTTTTTTTTTATCAAGTCAAAACTATATACTTTTTTTTAATTTCCAAAAATGTGCATTAGTTTAGCTACAAAGAATAGACAACAAGAATATTTATATATACTTAGGTCACTAGAAATTTAAAAACTTTAAATCCTTATATCTTTTAATCCTTATCTGAATACTCTTTTATCAATAAAAGTATCTCTAAAAACTTAACTTATAAGTTTTTTATTTAACTATAAATTACTTTTTAAAAACATTTTGTTGATAAAAAAGTTTAGAATTAGAGTTTCTAAACAATCATTTCAACTAAAAAAATGTTCAATGATAATATACTAATATAATAATGATAATATATATAGTAAAATATAAATGCGGACATATATAGAAATATATATTAAAAATATAACAGAAAATAAACACAATTTCATTTCATATAATATATAACCCCATATATATATATATATATATATATATATATATATATATATATATATATATATA